ATGCTACTGTGGTTGTATGTCAGAGATTCGTGGAAAATTTGGCTGAATAGGTAAGGTAAACTCAATTGTGCAAGCTCATATGAAAAGAAGGTAAAGCAATTTGGGTTTATAGATTGGTGATAAGAGTTCTTGAAGAGTGGCAGTATATTAAGAGGATCTAAATAAATGCGTATCTTAAGAATGATTTCCTGATGGAAGGAACACAGTCTTAAAGATACGTTGTGGATATGCTGACAATTCAAAACCACTAAAGAAATGCTAGTGGGGATGAAAATGAAGAAGATACGAAAGACACTGAAGTGTATGGTTTTCTTTGCATATAGCAAGAACTAAGAAAACGTGCATGAATGAAATGACTATTGAGTGAAAGAATTTAACAATTCCAGAGTTGCATAACCACCATGGCCCTCACAAAGATAATTTTTTTTTTTTAAATTTAGCAGACTTTATTAAAGGTGTATGGAGATCAGGGTGATTACAGTAGAGTAATGCAAATAGTTCTAAATTTTGTACTGAATTTTATCAATTCCAAGATAGTGAGTTAAAAAAAAACTCAGTGATGAGTTTTTTAAAAAACTTATGAAGAAAAAAATGTGATTCTAGCAAAGCCAAGAAACCTTGGCAAAGCACGGATCAAGGAGTACTAAAGGCCATTTTAAGCTATGTAAGACCAAAAAAAAAAAAAAAAGAAAATCCTACTTTTGTTAAAACTCAAACATTAAGGTAAGAGATGGGAAACATACGTACACACACCACACCCTCAAAAAAAAAACTAAAATTTAATTTGCTGCATAGCATTATGTCATCTGCTATTCACAGATAGCTAGAAATTATGTAAAAGTAAGAGTTTATTCAGTCATAAATGGTGAAAGTCTCAACATATACTGATTAGACTGCAAGCAGACTGGTAAAATACTAAAATGCCAGTAAAATCTGTGAATTCAGCTTGTTGCTATCACTAGCTGACAGACGCCAATGTGGATCACCAATAATTTTATAGAATCAGTCAATTCCCAAGTCCCAACTTCCCATCAGGTAAAAATGCACCAAAATTATGAATATTTTACAATGCAATTTTATTACCTTATTGAAATCACCTTCTCTACACAATTATTCTGCTGGGAAAAAAAATGTGTTTATGTTTTCATTACTGTGTTTCTGTTTATAATTCAGCAATTGTGATTTGTGCGAAGTATATCAATTTAGAAATTGTTTGATTCTTTCTTTAATGGCACTATCGCAAGATTTTTTATTTCTAGTAGATATTTGAAGTTGATATTTAACTTTTAAATTGATTTAGAACAATCTCAACATGGTTTGCAAAGACTCGGGGTCCAACTTGAGCCTGATAATTTGGAAAAATTTCAAAATGCTAAAAATATGTAAAAATAAATCATGTGAAATGGGAATGAAAATGAACCAAGCTTTTTATTTTCCCTGTGGGAAGTAACCTTAATTTTACGAGAAAATGATATTTCTAATGGTGCTTCAGGTAGTAGTTTCAGCATATATTTTTAAACAGGACTTTATGAGACATTAGAAGCTGAACGATAGTAAACTGGCCAGGTCAGTTTGAGCTCAGTAATTAGCTAGGTCTTATGAATAAATTACTTTTTCGATGTCAATGAAAACATCAGAGCTGCAACATCTTTTTAGTACCTACAGAGCATTTGACACAATCTTTTTTTAGTGATGAATTTATCCAATAGCATTAACTGCAGTTTTGGGTCTTTTTCTTTTCAAATAAGAATTTTGTTCATGGAAGCAGCAGGAACTAATTCCAGGCCAAGTGGGGTTTTCATTTTTATCGTGTGTGTCTCTATGTAACCTTTATTTCAGTTTTATTGTTAATTGCAGAAGTTAGGGTGATTTATTTTGTAAAATTTGTTTTTACTATTGTCGTTAATATTCATACATTGCCTTTACTTCAAATCACAGGTGTACTTTAAGGCAGGGATCTGCGAACATTTTTTGAAAGGTCCCAGAAAGTAAATGTTTTAGTTTCTGCAGCCACATGTCTCTGCAGCACCTACTCAACTCTGCTGCTGCTCTGCAAACACAGCTCTAAACAACACGTAAACCAGTGGGTGAGGCTGTGTTCCCGTAAGACTTCATTGATTACAAACATTCAGTGGACAGAACTGGGTCATAGTTTGCTGTCCCCTGGTTGAAAGGATTATCTTTTTGGGGAGACAGGAGATAGATGTTCAAGGAGTTAAGAAACCTCAAACTCTTACTGTCTATAATTCATTAGATTTTAGTGGCTCCAAAAATAAATATTACAACTTAAGTGCTAGAGAAGTAAGTTCCTATTTACTTTTACTGGCTGCTTTTGTAATAAGTCATATTTTGTTGACCTCAGGCCTAGGTTTGGAGAGAAGATATTTCAGGTTTTTATATTAAAAATAGGCATTCGGATAATTTTTAATTTCCCCTTAATACATTAGCCTTTTATACATGGTGCCACACCCAACATGGCTACTGCTTAAGTCAGCTCAGGGGGAAGGAGACGTTGATATTGACCTTCCCTGTGTTCTCATCCCAGCACACTCACCTCAGAACTTTAGATGGCAGTGTTCCTTTTTGCTCTCTTTATTTTTACTTAAGAAATTCATTCAAAATCCTGGTGTACTCTGTCATATTGTTTCACTCTGAGGTCAGGGGGAGTGCTGGGTTTCAGTTTCTGTATCTTTCTGTACTATCTGAGTGAGCAGTCATTTCATTTCCCCTGGGGAGTTAGCCTCTTATAGCTATATCTATATACACTTTAAAGGAAAGAACAGTGCAATGATTCATACATTCTTCCAGGCTGCCATTGTGACTCAACTCAAAAAAGTAATTATGCAGAGTTTTTTTTTTTTTTTTGAGATGGAGTTTCGCTCTTGTTACCCAGGCTGGAGTGCAGTGGTGCGATCTCAGCTCACCGCAACCTCTGCCTCCTGGGTTCAAGCAATTCTCCTGCTTCAGCCTCCCGAGTAGCTGGGACTACACACACACCACCATGCCCAGCTAATTTTTGTATTTTTAGTAGAGACAGAGTTTCACGATGCTGACCAGGATGGTCTCGATCTCTTGACCTTGTGATCCACCCGCCTAGGCCTCCCAAAGTGCTAGGATTACAGGCGTAAGCCACTGTGCCCAGCCGCAGATATTTTTAAAGTTTAAATGTTACCTTGAACATTCATGTTGCATTTTGTAAAATGTTGTTTTAGATTCAGGGGCCAGCTATGCAGGTTTGTCATGGGTGTTCTGCATGTTGCTGAGGTTTGGGCTTCTCATGTTCCCATCACCCAAGTCTTGAACATAGTACCTCATAGATAGTTTTTCAACCTTTACCTCCCACCACCCTCCCCCACTTTAACAATCTCCAGTGTTTATTGTTTCCATCTCTGTGTCCCTGTGTATTCACTTTAGCCCCTACTTATAAGTGAGAACATGCAGTATTAGGTTTTCTGCTTCTGTGTTAATTCACTTGGGATACTGGTCTCCAGCTTCACCCGTATTGCTGCAAGAGACATGATTTCATTCTTTTTTATAGCTTCATAGTATTCCATCGTGGAAATGTGCCACATTTTCTTTATGCAATCTACCACTGATGGGCACCTGGATTGATTCCATGTCTTTGCTATGGTGAATAATGCTGCAGTAACATACAAGTGTATGTGTTTAACAGATTTAAAGCAACATTTCTAAGGAAATTTATTAGTAATGTCTAACTGCTGGTTACATCCTTCAGATTATTAAAGGGCTGAGATTTGAATTCACCAGGTAACATTATGAGAGACTTGTCTCTGCCAAAGAGAAAAATAAATTAGTTTTTAAAATATGAATATGAGATAAAATAAATTTAGACCGCAAATCTGTGAAACTAGAATTCATAGTAGTTCAGAAACTAATTCAACTTAATTCAGTGGCAGATGTATTTATTAGTATTTTTAAACAATAGGATTTTTTTAAACAATGATAAATATTGACAGTTTAGACCATTCGTTGTGACCAAATAGGTATGCATCTTCTTAAGAACATATCTGTAATATTTTCAAGCTAAGACTTCTTGTATTAACCTTATTACTTTGTTATACCTTAAAATTTTTTCAGAATTTTTCCACATTAGTAAGATACCATATTTAATAAATTATATGCGATGGTCTTATATTATCAAAGTAACACAGGAAAGTCTACCAAACTATAATATTCCTTAGAATACTTAAAACTCATAACTTTTATATATGAAAGCCCATAGAGAGTATTCTATTAAATAGATTAAGTTGGGGACATAGCACGATAGTGGTGCTGTTAAAATTGACTTCCATGTATGAATGAAATGACAGAGCATTGTTGATAAGCCGGTGTGTAATGCACAATTTATTACATGATTTGAATCCAGCAATGACCATACAAGTAAAAGTCAATTAGTATAGATTGAGTATCCATTCTCCAAAAGGATTGGTGCTAGAAGTGTTTCCAATTTCAATGTTGTGGGGATTTGGGAATATTTGCATATACGTAATGAGATATCGTGGGTAGGACTAAAAGTGCGTTGGATTGGGGATTTTTTTTTTTTGATTTGACAATATTTGCACATACATAATGGGATATCCTGGGGATGCAACCTATGTCTAAACACAGGAGTCATTTATGTTTCATATATACCTTGTACACATAGCCGAAGATAATTTTATTTTCCCTTTGAGGTGGTGAATAAACTTTGTGTTGTGCACCTATGTTTTGACTAAATGGAATTTTCCACTCACAGAATTATGTTGGTGCTCAAAAAGTTTTGGATTTTGGATTTTGGAGCATTTCAGATTTAGGGTTTTCAGATTAGGAATGCTCAGTCTGTATTGATCATAGATTTGGTTCTAGCATCAAAGTTGGAGTGAAATGTCCATGTGTTCTAAATCTTAGGTTGCCAAATCTGGTATAAGCAACGGTAGAAATAACACACGCAAGAAATCTTCTCTGCGAGATCTCATAGTGGCTGCTGTGTCTTTCTGCAGAATCTGTCACTGCGAAGGGGATGAAGAGAGCCCCCTCATCACACCCTGCCGCTGTACTGGGACACTGCGCTTTGTCCACCAGTCCTGCCTCCACCAGTGGATAAAGAGCTCAGATACACGCTGCTGTGAGCTCTGCAAGTATGACTTCATAATGGAGACCAAGCTCAAACCCCTCCGGAAGGTACAGTATCCGTAGGAATTGCTTTGGGAGGGACCGTTTGCAAAGCAGACTTGTTTTAGAAATCTATTTCCTCTGCCAATAAGATTCTCCTAGTATGCTAACATCCGTGAAGGGTACATATCTTATATTGGGCTCAGTACACAAAATTCATCTAAGCATTTGCAGATAATCCTTCCTGTCTTCTATGTTTTATATTCTAGAGCTTCTGAATGATATATTACTTCAATGCTTTTTTAAAAGTCAGTGCATGCACATACATATATATATGTATATGCATGCAAAATGCACTTGTAATTCAATGATTCAATGTAATCGAATTGATGAGGACTATGATAGTGTTGTGCTCACAGAAGCCAGTTCCCAAGAAGGTTACATGATACATTGCCTTAAACAACATGAACTAATCAAATTTCTTACAAGTTATTTATTAGGTAATAAAAGAGAGATTTCTTCTATTAAATGTATACCATTTATGTTTACTTTTATTTGGGAATTGGTTTAATGACTTGTGTGTAATTGCAGTAGGTAAAAATAAAATGTATTATTTTCTATATTGTGCATCAATCTGTAAGAGAGAGATAAGTATATTTTGTATCTATAGTGTTTGTCTTCAAATTCCTCATCTCTATTATAGTTTTCTAAAGAAGAAAGGTAAGACTGTGACTCAGATACAAAGTTAGGGTCTCACTCAAAGCCAATGAAGAAAAACTTGTAAAGAATACAAACAAGGACAATGAACTTTATATAACTCATGTTTGATAGTTGGACTCCTGGATTTTAAGGTGTAGCTTATTTATCTTTTTGCCCAACTATAGCCTTACATATCTGGCTGCCTCAATTTCCAAGGGAGAGTATGAAGACCACAGTTTAAACAATAAATCATCCTAGAGCTGCTTTTTTCTTTAAATTAAATGCAAAGCAAAAGTTTTAGAACATTGCTGGGAAAGAAACACAATGGGTTCCAGAATGAGCAGAATTGAAATGCAAATAAGAATATTCTAGAACGTATCTGATTGCTGGCTATCCACGGCAATTCTTCATTAATTCTGTAAATTGTGGAGAAAGAGAATCACATTCCTTGCTTTTGTGGTAGCCTCAATTTTAAAAACCTACAAATGGTTTATAGCCATCAAAAATCATGGCTAAAATTCTTTTAGGATATGCGTGGCCTTTTTTTTAACACTGGGGTGACCTGAGTGCTGCAGGGTAACATTGTTTTTCTAGGGCTCAGGGTATCAATGCCAGAAATAGAAGTGGACCCCAATTCCTTGCCCTTTGCTTCATCTGCTGGACAGATGCTGAGCACTGTCTGAGTAGTGAAATGACACTTTGTACTCCACGAATCTCTAAATTCCTTTTCTTATCCCTCAAGGAACTACAAATTATTTCCTAGAATCTATATATTTCTTCATTTTTTTCTCATGCTAAACTTACATAAAATTTTCATTTCAACTTTGTTAAACACAGGATTTTAATTTGAGGGCCACAATCTAAGATAATACCGTATTGTAATTTTCCCTTCTTTACCGTACCTATCACCACTACTCATTTTTTGTTTAATAAAAAAACGTGATGCTGAGAAGAAACTTGCAAAGTCCTTTCATCCTACCCCCAGCTTTTGCAGTATCTAGTATCACCTTTTCAATACAACTTTCACCCTTTGTTAACACTCCATTCCCAATAATTTACAACTCTCTCAGGAAATCTTATTTTTTTCCCAAACAAGCTGATTTATAAACCAAAGAAAGGGAGCAAATATAACTATCTTTTTAAATATTCATGATAATGGGCCAGGGACAGTGGTTCACACCTGGAATCCCAGCACTTTGGGAGGCTGAGGCAGGAGTATTCCTTGAGCCCAGGAGTTTGAGACCAACCTGGGCAACAAAGTGAAATCCTGTCTCTACAAAAAAATTCTTTTAAAAATTAACCTGGCATGGTAGCACACATCTATAGTTCCAGCTAGTCGGGAGGCTGAGGCAGGAGAATCCCTTTAACATAGGATTTCAAGGTTGCAGTGTGCTGTGATCACACCACTGCACTCAGGCTTGGGTGATGGAGTCACACCTTGTTTCCAAAATAATAATAATAATAATAAATTTATGATAATGAATGTGTTGCAGCAACCTAGTGGGTACCTATGTACCTACTATCTGTTGATTAATATCCTAGTTTCTTCTAAAAAATGTCTTCTTCGATTAACTTGAATAATTAAATTGAATAATTTTCTTAGGTTATTAATATATTAAGCATTGATGAAGGACAGCATTTCAACATTCTTTATTTTTAATAGCACTTACAGATGCATAGGAATGTCAGAATCTGATCCAGAGTTTGCTTCCCAAGCACCCACAGATGGTGTTTTATTTGGGCCGCAGGGCTTAAAATTATAACTTTAGTTACCAACATTTAAACATGTAACTATTTCATGTGCCATTCCACACATCTGAATTTGTCTGAAAAATCACAGTATCTGGCTTCACTGGAACCACATTCTCATATGACAACAATCAGTGGACCTAAGTGGTGTCTGGCCCCTTTAAAAAGCTACTTGTTTTCATATTTTTCACAGTTCTCAGCCTTCCCTCTCTTTCTGATCTTGTGCCATCTCCACTCATCTGTGTACCTCTGTGGCACTTGTGTAGGGATCTGAATCTTCAACTTCTTTTCTAACACATGAGCCTTAGACGTGAGGAACGTGCATTCTATTCCTCCCTCCATGATGTATAGGCTTTAAAAACCTAGAGAAAGTATTCCAACATCTCACTTTCTCCTTTGAAAACATGAGGCACTGGAATAATACTTAAGAGGCAGTATTCATAGTGATGACTTTCTCAGTCGTCAATCTGAGTCATCACATTCTGTGGTAATACAAACTATACAGATATGATGCATTTTAGAACTGTTCTAGTTGGGCTATTTTGATGGCACTAAGATTCATCAACAGTTTTCTTTTGGTGCTTTGTAAACAGTTACAGAGAATGCTAGGTATAGCATTTGGTTAGAATATATTTGAAGTACATCCAGTTAATTGCCTTCAACTCGGTAATTCTATTACAGTTTAAAACATTCTAAAGACCAACCGGCATGAAACAATTTAGCTAATGTTGTTGAATTTCTGCCATTTTCCAGTGCAGGGAGGAGACTCTGTTTAGATGAAATGATTTCTTCATAGAAAGGTGCAAATCTTCATAGATAAACCTTGGGGCTTAATGGTTAATTTCCAAAGATATCATAAAATGTTACTTCATTGATTGCAACTTCATCAGTTGCATTATTACTCCACCAAAATCTAGTTAGTAAATTCATCAAGGTATCTTAATGTTTCCAGAAGACAATCCTTAAAGTGAAAATAAAATCAAGTACTTATTTAAGGAAAAGCAATTTTCATCATCTTTAAGTCAGTAACTCACCTACTTTTGTAACACTCAATAAAAGTCTCATTAATCTGCTAAATTACCCCAGGTCAGAAATAATTTTGAGGGTCCAGAAAAGTCAAAAACTCACACATAAAGTAAGCATAGTGACTACTCAGCACAATTGGGAGATGCACTCAATATCAACTAGGAAGCATAAACTAATCTATTCTGAAGCTAAAGAATTGCATGGAGTTCAGATTTAAGCTACTCCTGAGTGGGAGAAGCCAACTGTTGAATATGAAACCAAGTTTATGAGGACAGCAAATACTACTGACAACTTTCTATCTTCCCTAAAATATTTTTTCTGTAATTTTCCATACAGAAACTATTTGACAAATGTACAATACAGGATATGTAAGTCCATGCATCTTTTTGTTCCTTGTCTCATGTGCACAAAGAAAATAAGGTAGTGAATAAATTATCTTTGCTTTAGTAATGATTATGTCGAGCCAGATGCACTAACCATTTTGTAGATCAAAAACAGTTGAATATTGGAAAGTTCATAAAATGCAATTTCTGTGTAAATTAACTGTGTCAAATAAAGAGTAGTCATCTTGGTATTTCTACATTTCAACTATCATGATTTACAGTGCTGTCATTGACATGCCTATTTTTTAAAATGAAGAACTGTCTTTAACGAACACTGTTAATTCCTTCCTTGTCTTAATTTGATGTAGGAGTCATCTTTCAGAAGAGCCAAGGGTTAATGAAAGTTATCATAGAAGGTTAACTGCCCCAAATTTGTTATTGATTAGTTGATGATCTGAATGTCTTATCATTAATAGTCTTAAAGTTGAACAGGGAAAAGGATAAGGCCAGATTCCTAGCTAGGATATTCTCGCACCCTTTGAATGATGTTGCCTGTGACAAAAAAAAAATTCAAAATGCATCATTTTCTTACCATTAAGGGGAATTTGCTATTTCACTAATATGACCATCACATACTGAATTCTTTCTATGGGACAAATATTTAGCATATATCATTTAACTAATTCAATTTTCATTACAACCCCATTTTATGTAGACATATCAAGACCCTTTTGCAGATGAGAAAAATAAAATAAAATATCAAACTCACTCAATATCACACACATCAAAGTTCCCTGATTCTAAAGCATGTGCTCATTTTACTGTATCACTCTACCACCAAATAGCTGCGAGATTCTCTATTTAAGCATCACAGCTTTAGTTCTTACTTAAATCATTCCCAAAGGAAATCTTTCAAAACAAATAATTCCAAAACAAAAATTTTTCCAAAATCTTCTTTCCTAGACAAGAATATTTTACCCAATATATTTTCCTAATAACTGAAATATATCATTATATGCACAGCAATTATTTTTCAGGCTGAAAACATTAATGACTTCCGTATCTTGACATACATATAAGGCTGTTTCTCTTCATTCTTCTTACTACACCCTGCTATGTTTTGAAAGCCTTTCTATCTGGGTTTGTTGTTTCTCTTTCTTCTCTGCTCTCCGAGCATCAGATATTGCTTCTGTTTTCCCAATAGTCCTTATTCAACATTTAACGTAGGTGCTTCTTTCTGCTTTAAACAACATCAACGCCAAAAAATTTCGG